CGTCGTCACTTGCACTGCTTCCCGAGTGAATCCTTTGATGTACTTTCGGAGAGGTTCGTCGGGGCCCTGGATTATCGCTCCGAGGACGGCTTCCGTCTTCGGGTGGCGCCGGGACGCCGTAAAGTGTTTGGAGAACAGGTCCTTCAGGACTCTCCACGACGTAACTGATTCAGGCTCCAAACTTTTATACCAAGTCATGGCGCCTTTCCTCAGAGTCGTCGGGAAAAGCCTGCACTTGATAGCTTCCCGGACGTTTCGGTAATCGAGCATAGCCTCGATGTCCTCTAGGCGATCGTCCGGGTCGGATGTGCCGTCGTACGTCGACAGCGTCGGGGGCTTCTCCATCCCTTGGGGTATGGGGGCAGCCATGATTTCTCGGGACAGCGGGGTGCGATAATCGTCCTCGTCGCTGGGGGTCGGGGACCGATGGGGAGACGAGCCGTTCAGAATAGGGCCCTGGTTTCGGGTTCTCGACCTCCTGCCTGGGTTTTCGCCTCGAGGATCTCTGGCCGGGATCGCCGCAGTACCCTAGTTCCTCTCGCGAACTTGTCTTGCTGGGGACCTGGTGCATTCTCGCGCTACCTGTGCGCGGTGTCTCTCCAGCCGCGACCGACGATTTCTGGGTCGAGGTGAGGGACTTCTCGAGCCTCTGTTCTGGTCTTCCCGCGGGGGGGACCTCGGAGGGCCGACGCGTTCCAATGCTCCAATTCTCGCGTTTTGCTGGAACAGCAGCTGGTTCGTCTGGTTGATGGCCGTAAAGAGGGCGGCCACCGTTGGGTCCGCTCCCGCCGGGATGGGAACTGGTTGGAATGCTGCCGGGCCCGGGGGCCGGTGGTCGGCCTGAAGGGGCCGCTCCGCGGATAACGGTGAGGCAGTTTGGCCGTCTCTCTCGTCAGTTTCCGCCGGACGCGTCGTTTCCATCTGCTTGTTTCCGTTGGTGGCGACGTTGAACACGAGGTCGTACGGAGTGTCGTCGCGGTGCGGGCTAGCCATGATCGTGGAGTGTTGGTGAAACTTTGGTTTTCTGCTTGGAATAACGGGGAAGTTTCTGTTCCCACAGACGGCGCCACTGATCTGACCTGATCAGAAGGGGATCACGGACTGGCCACACGTTGTTGGACTGTTGCTTGTTCACCGGTGATGAGGAGGAAAAGGGGGGTGTACCTGCAAGACACTCCGATGCCAAAGTAAGAAATTGGGCAGAGTGAGAGCAAAGTATAGAAAAGGGGTAAGAAGTGTGTTACCTGACCCTCTTGATGAAGAGGGTATTTATAGAGAGACCCCAACATTGGGCCAACGGTCACTTTGCGTTGGGCTGGATTGCCAGGCCCAACCCAGGTGACTGCTATGGCTTACGTGGCATAGTGAAGACCAGGACGTGGTCTTCGCCCTAGTCCAACTGCTCCTCGATCTCCGGAAAGTGGGTTTGACCTGCTCTTTCGGAGGTGGGCAGTTGGTTGCTGACGTGTCCCCGCGGAGGGGAGCACGTGGAGAACGTGCGCCGGGCACGTTGTTCTCCCCGCGGAGGGGAGCTTGGGAGGTTCCCTGGAGGCAGGTTGTTCTCCCCGCGGAGGGGAGCACACGAGGATGTGGGAGAACCAAGGGTCTTGCTCGACGGACTGGGAGTGCTCTGTTCGGCTGACAAAAGGGGACGTTGAGATGCTACAGGACGTGCCGTCCATCCCGACGGGATGTGTGCCCTGCCCGTCCCACGGTGGTGCGTGTGCCCGGTCGGGCTAGTCCACTTAATGGGCCTTGTGCGTTATTGGGCTGGACCGCGAGGCTGGGCCCAGACCAGAACAGGTGGTAATATAACGATAATTCCTGTGGAGACGATACAACAAATACCCCGAAAACACTTTCAACAATCATACATACAACCATAGAGAACTACATAACTTTGTGTTTAGTCATTCATACATTACCAAATAACAACAAATTCATCATATTTATACATAAATTAATCATTTAATATACAAAAATAAGATTATATAAAAGTGGAATAAAAAACATAAAATAGTAGTATAAAACAATATAATAATATTATAATAAAAAAGGAAAAAACGAAGGAGATGATAGATTAGAGAAGTTGAAACGGAAAGAATATAATAGATGTGAGACTAGAGAAGAATGGTGCGACAAAAATGTAATTGCAAGATAAAACAATAGTATAAAAACGAGAAGATGAAAAATAAAGAACATAAGATATGAGGGATTAGAGTAGAAAATGTGAGATGTACATGACAAAAAAGATGAAAAGAATGCACGATACTTTTAGAAGAGATTTAAGAAGATTCAAACTAAAACCCTAAGTGTGAGTAAGAGAATATTTGTAAGGTTAAAGACTAATATGTTTTGGTTTTAGGTTGGATATGTGATAAATAAAGTTTGAGTTGTAACATAATGCGATTTGGTTTGGTTTAGTTCGGTTTGCAAAATACAAAACGTAAACCAAATCAAACAGTGCGGTTTTGTTAAAAAATGGTCCAAACGCATCCGAATCAAATGCGGGTTTTTGCAATTTTGGTTTGGTTTGCGGTTTTCTATTGATTTAGTTTGGTTTTGAACACTCCTACTCCAAACAACTCCTCCACAAATGTGAATATACCAATACAGTTTTGAGGAAAGCTAAAACTACTGAACATAAATATAAATAAATTACTTATTTGTTGTAGTGTTTTATGAATTAAAGAATCTCTTTTATATACATCTTAATTTGAACCTAAACCAAATAAAACAATTTACATAAAGGTATTTTTTTATTTTTTTATTTTTATTTTTTTCTTCTAAATAAACAGTTGGTCCGACTTTAGAGTGAAATCTAACCTACCATTGTAATCTTAGGTTCAAAGACGAGTCTCTTTAATTGCATGTAAATAATTACCGCCCTATTTGTTTGATTGGTAACATCTATAAAATTTTATCGAAACTGCTAGCGGATAGGTTGAAAAAGGTGATAAATGGGTTGGTTTCGTCATGTTAAACAACTTTCATTCAGGGTAGGCAAATGGTTGATGGTGTGTTAGTAATCAACAAACTAGTGGATATGACCAAAAGAAATAAGAAGGAATGTTTGCTTTTGAAAGTCGACTTTGAAAAAGCTTTCGACTGCGTGGCATGAGACTATTTGAGAGATGTGATGAATAAAATGGTCTTTGGTGGTAGGTGGATGAAGTGGATGGAGGTATGTGTTTTCTTAAGTTCAATGTTGGTCTTGGTGAACGGAAGCCCAACTAATGATTTCAAAGTGGATAAGGGTTTGCGGCAAGGAGACCCGTTGCCGCCTTTCCTTTTTTTTCTTATGGCTTGAAGGTTTTACAAGGATGATGCAGAATGCGAGACGACTTGGTCTGTTTCATCCATTCAAGGTGTCGAATGACTAATGTTTTGATTTACTACAATTTGCGGACGATACATTATTTGTTAGGGAAGGTTCATGGCTCAACCTCTGGAACATCAAAGCAACATTTAGGGGTATTGAATTGGCGTCAGGTTTGTCGGTCAATTTTAATAAGAGCAAAGGCATTGGTCTCAACCTTAAATAAGGATTCTTGGAGGCTGCTTCGACATTTTTAGCTTGTGATATTTGCTCGATACCCTTCCAAGTTATGGGTATTTCAGATTGAGCAAACCCGAGACGCGGAGTACTTGGAATCCACTCTTAGATAAACTCAAAACCAGACCATCAAAATGGAAGGGGAAACACCTCTCGATGGGAAGTTGTGTGACTTTGCTGAATTATGTGCTTAATTCCATTCCAATTTATTTCTTCTCCTTCTACAAGGCTCCCAAATGCATTATCAAAGACATCATTAGAATCCAATGCGACTTTCTTTGGGGCGGTAATTCAGAGAAGAGGAAAGTGGTGTGGATTAGTTGGAATCTCATATGCAAACCGAAGGAGCAAGGTGGATTGAGACTTAAACACTGTGAATTGTTTAATCTCTCCCTCTTGAGCAAATGGAAATGGTGTATTCTTAGTGAAGATAACATTTTGTGGGCAGCCCTTCTAGCAACGAAATTGGTGTTCAAAACAATGGAACGTCTTGTGAATTATTGATCTATTTTATTTTTATCTTTTGATTCATTTGACAACTCTTATATTTCACCCTTTTATATTGTTTGAGTACTTTTTGTGCTCTTAATATAATAATATATATGCTTATAAAAAAATTGCATGTAGAAAATATATGATTTACATCAATATAAAAGACTTAATATTTGATAAAATAGTAAAAAAAAACCTTCCTTATACCTTATACACGGCTATCACATTTGCACACGTTAGAGAAATCTTAACCCCAATACAAACTTATCAACATGCCAAAGAGACAAAGTGAAATTTCTTAATTAAAAAAAAACAAAATAGTGCACAAATAAGTTTTTGATTGTTTTGGAAAAAAAAAAGCATTGGTGCAACAAAAGTGAGGACCAAAGAGAAGATTTGAAAGGGCATTTGCGGCAAAGGGAAGATGCTTGCATGTGCTATTGGCAGCTTGTTAACCATCCAACTTAAAACCACTATACCCCACTTCCCTTTTTTTGATTTTCTAACCATGAAAGCTACAATACCACACGCTTTCCCTCACAAAACAGCTTTTTTTTCCAACCTCAAATATTGTCCCCTTGCCGATTTCCACTCTTTTAATAAGCACTTATTTAATAAACCACTTAAACGACTAGCGGTTTTTTCTTCCCAACATTTTAAAAACACTAGTTAAAGTTGTAAACTAACCCAATCTTTATTCACTCTCTCCAAAGCTCTATAAATTAAGTACCTTACCCTTCCCTTTACTTCACTCATTCACTTCTCATTCTCTTCTCATTCTCTCTCTCTTTCTACATCTCTCATAAGTGCATTTTGTCCCTCCTTTCATCAACCCCACAAAATCAAAGTAATTATGCATTTCACTTCAAAATCTCACAATTTAAGCTTAATATTTACAAAAAAAGTACTAATTTTTTTTATATAACTTAATTTTGTATATGTTCAGGAAAAAATGGTTCCAATAAGTTTGCTCCTGGTTGGATTTCTCACTATATTTTCCTCAGCTTATGCCTATGGAGGATGGACTAATGCACATGCAACCTTCTATGGAGGAAGTGACGCATCAGGAACAATGGGTAAGCGAATTTTTACAAAAAGATTAAATTTTTCTCAATTTTAAGAAATTTAAAGAAAGCCCATTTGACTAAATTATTAAAAAAATTGATTTTTTTAGGTGGGGCATGTGGATATGGTAACCTATACAGTCAAGGTTATGGAACAAACACTGCTGCTTTAAGCACAGCTTTGTTCAACAGTGGCTTAAGCTGTGGTTCTTGTTTTGAGATTAGGTGTGCTGGTGACCATAAATGGTGTCTTCCTGGTTCCATTTTGGTTACTGCCACTAATTTCTGCCCTCCAAACAATGCCTTACCTAATAATGCTGGTGGATGGTGTAACCCTCCTTTGCATCACTTTGATCTTGCTCAACCTGTTTTTCTTAGAATTGCTCAATATAAAGCTGGAATTGTTCCTGTTTCTTACAGAAGGTAACTTTTTTGTATTTTTTAAATATTTTTTTTATAATTTTATTTTTGAATTTTGAAAATTTTACTTGAATAATGGGTTGGCCTTTATGTCACTTTCAACTTTTAAGTGATTTTTTTAAATTCTATTTTTAAATCACATGCATTTGGAAGTTTCCTAACTTTCTTTTGTTTTTAGTTACAGTGTAATTTCTTTAACTTTATGTAGGCAGTTAATGGGATTCCTTTTAGGATTGTAATTTTATAATGGAAATACTTTTATTTATTTTTTTGCTAAATTGGTTTGTGAAAAAAATTACTGAATTTTGTGATAAATTATTATTTTTAAGGTTATTATATGATGTTAATTCTCAATTAAATTAGTTAAATTTTGTTATATTTAAATAATAGTAATAAATATTATTTTTCTTGAATTAAAATATAGGGTGGGGGGCATAGTAAGTGCAAACTACTTGTTTGGGTTTAGATCTATGTATATAATTTATCTTTATTTATATTTTATGTAAACTTGTTGATATTTATAATTTTTTAAAAAAGAATTTAAAAAATAGAAAATAAAAGTAAAAGGAAAAAAGGAATATGTGGTTGTAAATAATAAATTTGGTGTGGATTTGTGTAGGGTACCCTGCAGGAGAAGGGGAGGAATTAGGTTTACAATAAATGGACATTCCTACTTCAATTTAGTTTTAGTAACAAATGTGGGGGGTGCTGGAGATGTACATTCAGTTGCTATTAAAGGTTCAAGAACAGGGTGGATGCCAATGTCAAGAAACTGGGGACAAAATTGGCAAAGCAACAATTATCTCAATGGACAACCTTTGTCTTTTAAGGTTACAACAAGTGATGGAAGAACCATTGTTTCAAACAATGTTGCCCCTTCTGGTTGGTCCTTTGGTCAAACCTACACTGGTGCTCAATTCCACTAGTCACATAGTAATTTATCATCATATATATATATAGTATGTTTTAATTTAATTTCCTAAGTTAAGTATTAGTAGTAGTATATAACTCAATAGTATACTAGGGTATTAAATAGTATGATGAGTTATTGAGATTGAAATTCTAGGGTTAGAAAATGTGAAGGCCTTTTTTTGAATTGGCTTTTCATCATTTTGATTGTAGCAAGATGGTTCATATTTATTTGGGCCATTTTGATTATTGGGGTAATATTTTTTTTTCTTTTTTTTTTTAAATTAATCTTTTGCTGCTAAGAAAGCTCGCAGAGATTAATTAATTAATTAATTATGGTATTTTTATAATTAATGTTAGTAGTATTTTGCTAAATTGGAAGAGGTGGAAATTAATACCACCCGCCATATTAGTATATTGTTGGAAGCATTGTTTGCTTCACTAATTTATTGTGAGCAACTTTAGCTGAGTATGTTGGGTTTTGGGTATTAAGAGAATGTAATTGTAAATTTTCTTTTTTATGCAAGTAATGGAAATTTATGTTATTGTGTTTTTCTTTTTCTTTTTCTGTCTACATAATACCTAATTTCCTTCTTTCTATTTTCTCTTGGACCAAACAATGAAAAAGTTTCATCACATTTTCTAGTTTATTAACAAAAGAGAGTAAAGTATGAGTATCTTTCAAAGACACAAAAGAGTAAAAGTAGGAAAAGAAGCTAAAAGAGAAACAACTATCTCCATGTGCAAATGTTAAAGAGAAACAACGACTTTTGTTTTTTTTTTTAATAAATGTGACTTGTCTTCACAACAAACATCGCTTGCATAGGCCTATTATTCTATTATAACTATTTTCCCAATTTTTCTATGCGTAGATGCGGAAATCACTTTATATTAATGAATAATTAGGATCTTATTCAACTAACAATTTAATTAATTAAATAATAAATAAATAAATAATAAATATATTTATAATAGATTATATATAGTTAAAACATCAACTTGTACACCATTGTCTATAACATTTTAAAATTTGTTATTATAAAGGTTTCTTTGTTTAATGGAAATTAGACTTTTTTTTGGATAATTTTTTTTTATTAAATCCAAAAACATAGAAAAACAAGGATGGACCCAACCCACGAACAAAAATACCAAAAAGTATCTATAGCTATACCCCTAATATCCATATTATTCACATGGTTTCTAAAACTTGTGTTGTTTCTATACTTATATACTCAATAAATTGTTTCTGCAGCGACACTCCTAATAAAAAATGCTCGCCAACCTTTTCCTTTGCCATTACAAATGATCCAATTCAATTCCTCCTTACAACCTCTTAGTTCATGGGCTATATTCAACCACCCCCAAAACCTTTCTCCAAATGTCCCTCAACTGCACATAAATAAGGAACAAACAATGTCATTGGTTGAACCACTGTTTTGTACATCAAGCATCTCCAATCCACCTTAGTGTTAGTTGGAAATTTCGACGCCAAACTTTTTGTTCAAATATATTAAGTGAAAATTAAGTTTTTAAAATTTTTGCTGACTTTGACAAGAGCTTGTGTAAGAAGTTTGGTCGAAGTGGTTTTCAATGAAGGAGACGTCTGAACGATACTTAATTTTTTTTAATTTTATATAAAACCAACTTCGACGAAGGATGTTTGAAGCTTTCCTTCGACAAAAGTTTGAAATTCAAAATACGGATAAATATCTATCTTTTTCCCTTATCCGTTTCTCAAGAAAGACTCGTGGAGAGTTGTGACGAAATGAAAGCATGCAGAGCGAAACGTGTCAGTTTTTGGAGGAATGTTTGTTGAAGACAGTTATTTCGACTTGTTATAAATAGGAGTATTAATGTTAGGATTTATGTGTGTTCGTTATTGTACAAATACTAAAAAAATATACTCAAAGTATCTACTCAGGTGAGAAAAGAGTTTGTCATTGAGAAAAGTATGTTGAAACACCATCTTTATTTCAATAGAAATTTACTTTCAATCTACAAATTGTTTCTTTGTTGCACTTTTACTTTAAAGTTGCATGTTTAGTGTATTTTCTTTACATTCCTGCAAAAACTTATCTTTTCAAAACTTTTGAACATCCTTTTCAAATTATGAATGTTATCGAAGTGTTCTTGATATTTCTAGAAATTGTATTAACAATAGCCATGTCCTAAGGATTCACTGGTTGATCCTGCAATTAAACCAATTTTTTTTGGAAGACCAACGGTTGTTTACCAATGCTATTGTTTTTCAATATTCTCTTTTTGAAAATTTTCTTTTTATAAGTTCTTCATTTTTACTATCTCCCTAGACTTTGTTGCATGAGATTTAGGAGTGGTAAAATAGCCACAAACAACGAAGAGAGACCAAGGAGAAGATACGTAAGAAGGATGGTGAATCAAAGTCCACCATATAACCAAAATCCATCAAACAGTGAAGAACCGCCCCCTTTGTCTTCGACAGGGGGAACTACGGTTCCAACGTCAGTTTCGGAACCAGTGCACTCAATTGCACAAAGTGGACTCATATTATCCTACGTTGGAAACAAGGTCCACCAGTGACTCTCCCTCTAGTGAGAAATAATTCATTTAGACCTTATGTGCCTGGGTTCTCAATGCCTCCAATAGGACGCAAACAACCTTATGGCTTGCCAACATCAGTGATGACAAGTCTACAAAATGTGTCATCAATGTTCTCAGACCCAGTGGTGAATGTAACTTTGCCATTGTAAGTATCTGGTTCAAGTGTCAATAATATGGGTCGATTACCCATCCTTTAGGGACATGATTTCCTACCTAGATGCCTAATATCACTAAAAATTATACAGCGGTGATAAGGTAACAGATGGACGAAAGCAATCATGAGATGATCCAGATGTTTGCCCAACAAATGGGTGTCATATTCAATCCCTTAATTCAAAATACTATCCAAACAAACCAACAATTGACAGCGCAAATGATGCACATTGCTAATTTCTTTGGTATCCCTCAACCCCTCGACAACCCCAAAGGGAATAGATATGAGAAAATCTAGGGTTAGTCTTGGAAGAAGACCCCACAATCAACCAAGTTCAACGAAATGTACCCCGAGCAAACGTATTAAACCAGGGGGCAGGAGTCGAACCACCTAGGGTCGAACCTCCTATAATTGAACAACCACTCCTAATAGAACCAATGGTAGTAATGGTGAATATAAACCAGAATGTTGATGAAGTCATAAATCAGGTTCAACGCAATGATGTAGCAGCAAATAATAATCTAACAACCATGGTCGAAAGAATTATGGCTAGGAATGAGTGAATATTGGCCTTCATAGGCCAACTTATATTTCACCATAATCTAAATACATTTTCCAATCAGATTTTCTCCCTAAATAGAAAGTCCTTAAATTTACTAAGTTTTTTAGAAATACTAGTGATTCTACAGTTGAACATTTGACAAAATACCTAATAAAGGCAGACGAACCTACACTGGTGCTCCCTGATGAAAGAACCATTGTGTCAAACAATGTTGCCCTTTCTAGTTGATCCTTTTGTCAAACCTACACTAGTGTTCAATTTCCCTAGTCATATGATTTATCATTATATATATATATATATATATATATATATATATATATATATATATATATATATATATATATATATATATATATATATATATATATATATATATATATATATATATATATATATATATATATATATATATATATATATATATATATATATATATATATATATATATATATATATATATATATATATATATATATATATATAGTATGTTTTAATTTGTATTAGTATTAGTATATAACTCAATAGTATACTAGGGTATTTAATAGTATGATGAGTTATTGAGATTGAAATTCTAGGGTTAGAAAATGTGAAGGCCTTTTTTGAATTGGCTTTTCATCATTTTGATTGTAGCAAGATGGTTCATATTTATTTGGGCCATTTTGATTATTGGGGTAATATTTTTTTATCTTTTTCTTTAATTAATCTTTTGCTGCTAAGAAAGCTTGCAGAGATTAATTAATTATTAATTATGGTATTTTTATAATTTATGTTAGTAGTATTTTGCTAAATTGGAAGAGGTGGAAATTAATACCACCCGCCATATTAGTATATTGTTGGAAGCATTGTTTGCTTCACTAATTTATTGTGAGCAACTTTAGCCGAGTATGTTGGGTTTTGGGTATTAAGAGAATGTAATTGTAAATTTTCTTATTTATGCAGGTAATGGAAATTTATGTTATTTTGTGTTTTTCTTTTTTCTTTTTTTACATAACCAAATAGGAGAAAATGTTTCTACCTAACTTCCTTCTTTCTATTTACTCTTGGACCAAACAATGTAAATATTCCATCACATTTTCTAGTTTATTTATTTTTCTACATTAAACAAAACAAAAGAGAGTAAAGTATGAGTATCTTTCAAAGACACAAGAGTAAAAGTAGGAAAAGAAGCTAAAAGAGAAACAACTATCTCCATGTGCAAATGTTAAAGCGAAACAAAGACTTTTGTTTTTTTTAATTAATGTGACTTGTCTTACATCAAACTTCACAACAAACATTGCTTACATAGGTTGCTTTCTCAATTTTTCTATTTTTGCAAATCACTGTATATTAATTGAATAAATTAGGATTTGATTCAACTAACAATTTAATTTATTAAAATAAATAAATAAATGATAAATTGATATAAAAAAACTATTTATAGTTAAAGGATTAACGTTTTAGCTTTCTTTACTTCAACCAGTCTCTTACAACCATGTGTATACAATTTTAAAATTTGTTACTATTGAGGTTTTGTATTTTAATTATAATTTTGACCTAGTGATATATATGTAAGAGTTTTCAAATGAGGTAACACATGTCCATCACCAGGCACTTGCTCCATGACATGTCGTTCAGAGGGTAACCTTCATGTGGCACTAGACTTGTTCTAGGGAGAAAATGTGGATAAGAACGTTTACCTAACCTATATATGCATGTGCAAAGTCATACTTTGACTCTGTAAG